AATTTTGATAAAATTTTCACACAAGGTGGCCACTATGCCAAGGACGAAGAACCTTTGTAGTTTTTGAAAATTGATCCAGTAGCGGACAGAGAAAAACAAAAAAATTAAAATCAGGCATACGTTTTTTGACGGTTTAGATGTTCCTGTAGGGAATGAAAATTGGCGGCTCGGTGTGGTATGGGGTAGGGCATGTACATGTTGCATCTTTAGTATCAGGGAATTATTAACAAGCTTCTGATCAAGACAATAAACGAAAATTTAAATGACAACAACACCGATTTGACGCTGAGAGCAGACCTAGTGCCGATTATGGGGATATGGGGCAGAATAAAATGTTTATAATCGGGTTCTATTTGGGTGTTAGGAGTACCTATCAATTCAGTGTTCTGCGAAACAGTGGGATCGCGCGTGGAACTTCAAGATCGTCGATATGTTATATATATGTATAAATACAAGTTTTGATTTAAAATCTGCGAATCTAGAAGACGTGGGAAGTATAGATTTAAGATACTTTTCGACACTTTTTGGAGGCCAGAATACAGTATATGGTGGACTATACTGCATCTTATTACGTTTGATTTTGCCTCACAATAATACACATATCTAATCTCCAAGGTGACAAAAAATGTATTTAATCCTTAAGGAGATACAGTACAGATGTTCATATAATTAACCAGATAAAAGATAAGAAGTTTATTTTCAGAATTATTTTTTTGGATATGCAACATTTTTAAATAGGTATTTACCGATGACATCATAATTATCTGAGGAAGGCCAAACTGTAAACATGAGCAAAGAGCAATTCACGCATCGTTTATAAAATATGGGAAAGTAGCTGACTGATATCAGAATTAGGAAAAATACAGAAGGATATTTGAGTACAACTCAACGTTTTTCGCTATAAGACGCTATACCACAGTCGGCGTGGTGGGTAACTTCTTTATACTTTCTTTTGTCAGAATTTCCACAGTGATCATTTGTGGGTAGAAGAAAATCACTATACCGTAAGCGAAACCAATTTTTGGAATAGTTTCGTTGGTTTTGATGTTATATTTATGTTGTCAGTTGTTGTTGTTCATTACCCCTAATGTGTTTGATTTTTCCTATTAAATAAATAATAATGTTGCAAGTTAGACAATAGAACGGTTTTTATTTGGTAAAAAACCGTTACGATTTTTTTCTTAAAAAATATCGAAGGCAAATCTTTGTTTAGTGAACAGCTTCTATCTTCAATCGTTATTGAAAAATTCAATCGGAATCAACAAGACTTAAAAAAAACGCCCTCTCTTTGCAACGCGGAATCTCTGGACCAATATTTCTGTATGAAGTTTATATTTTCTACCTGCTAAATCTACCATTGAGTTTTACCTTACATTACCTAACATTATTCAAAATTATTATCATACATTAAGTACTTCAATAGATTGTGGGAAGAGTAACATAAAAAGATATATTATTTGAGGTTCATTATACTCTAATCACGTTTAACGCCAATCTCGTCTGTACAACTTTGAGTCACGTATTCTAACTACCGTTTAATACTTAGAGAATACTATATGGCCGTATAATTGAGGAAAGTAATTTCATTTGCAATAGGAATACTAAACGGGTAGAACGAATGAATATATTGATACAACATGGCATGTAATATTAACTTGTATGTTGTCATTAGAAAAGGAAATTCAAAATTATTTCATTTTCGTATCAAATCTCATCGCAACTGAGATGATTTTCATAAAATATTTCGGTCAACTATTTTCATTTCATCTATACTATACGCTTCAGTTAGTATAAGACGAATTTTGAAAGACTTTGTAAGCGCTCAAACTTGGATGGGTTAAAAGTTGGGGTTGTATGTAAATTTTGCATATTTGGTATTATTAATAAGCAAAAGTCGCTCTGCTGTTGAAACACTTTTAATTCCTGTATCTTATGCACCTGCCACAATATCATTTCTCGCGCATTCTCCATTTTTCCGTTAATCTGAGACCAAAGTTGCAGATTTACAATTTCACAGCACATCCTACTCATTTCAACACAGCAAAGCTGAATATGAATCTAATTGGAGCTACTTTGTATTTTGCTTGGGAAGCAAGTAACAGTGTCAACCTCGAGTCGCATCATTTGTGATTAACATTTTCACAGTAGACGATGAATTTTTGTAAGAAATTAAATTAATTGAAATCTGTTTAAAAACCAGGAAAGAACTGGATGTTGGTAAGTATATAAATCCTAAACATACGCTAATCCAAGTTTCAAGCATATTGCTACGACAAGAGCCTTGCTGGCGCAGTAGTAGTATACTGTACCACTATAAATCTTGATAAGAATAGACTTGTCTAAATCTCGTCTCCTACGTATATAAATACAGTGCTACTATTGCTACAAGAATTTGCTCTAGATGCCCACCAGCCCAGGTGTAGTCCTAAATACAGATTGGACAGATGACGCGAGGCCGAATCGTTCAAATTCAACATTCAAATTAACCTTTACAAGTCACCGTACGGCCAACTGCCAGATGCCATCCTGTGGTGAAGTACTGTTGCTAAAGCCGGTGTTGCCGACAGGACACTAGCATATCTTTACTTCCCGCGCCAGTAGCGAGATGTATTATGATCGCGAAAAATGATAAGATATCGTATTTTGGATGTTATCTGACATGTACACCACGAAAAACGAGGATGATTTGCATATTTTGAAAATCGATCCAGCGGCTATAAACTTACAGCTTAGACTTCCAGTAATGCCCTCTCTGAAGCAGATTTAACATCAAATCAGAACCACACATTGATAACTGAAATCTCATGTCGTTTAGGCAACGAACAACTACAAAATGAGTTCACAACGTGTCCATCAGCTAGCTCTACAAAAGTACAGAATGTCATAAAAAAACATTACAATGTCAAAAAAATCGACATAATGTCACTTTTGAAGATACGTAATACCCGGACCGATCACCGTACGGGTATTATACGTATTGCATAGACAGTGTATACTAGGACAGAATATAACAGATAATGTGTACAGATATTTCCGAATATGCACGTGTTTATCATAAAAAATCTTTTCTGAAATAATGATTGCTCATATATCACGAACATTTCAATCAGATGGGGAGATTGGTACGATTATTACCCCTTAAGAATATTATGTATTTTCCAAGTTTTATTGGATTCATAGGAATGATCTGTCTATTCTATAGCGCTATGTCAACTCTGTGGAACTTCGTGAATCTATAACTGGCAGGTAAGACCGCGCGTTTGTTCCCAGAGTGTCGAGATTGTGCAACAAGGAATCTTTTCCAAGTTCTGCAAACCTTAGGCACTTCAAAAATCGAATTAACAAGGTGTCTTTAAGCTTCTTATAGCAGCAGCGGTGCCCCGATGTTTAGGCTGCATCAGTATAAAACAACAGAGGGTATATTTCAAGAAGTATGCGCATTGAACTTAAATTGATTCAAAGATAAAAATTCAACTGTATTTTCCTAACTCCATGCGTACCTGGCTGGTATCTAAAAGTCGAAACGCGTCAAGAGCTCGACATTCTTTGATCAATCGATTCATTGATTATGTAATAAGATTGGAAAGAGGTTTGCAATTCAAAATAGCGCACGCGCTGGCCAGATCCGGAAATGGAGCATACATGAATATGATCATTTTTCAAAACGAAGGGTATCTGTTATAGCATAGCAATGGTGTATTTTAGAATTGTTTTATTTGTAATCGTGAAAACGGATTGATTTCCGGGGCTCGCTTTTTCAATTTAAGGATTAACTACTTCACCTGATTTTCAAGCTACTTGCCCTGAAATCAAGTTAAGCCGAAGTGAAGAATTAGATAATAGCAATTTTATATCAAGTCAAGTAACTTTTACGTCTGTCCGTCAAGTACTTTTGAAAATTCAAGTAGTCTTGATATTATTTGATAATGTTTGCAATATAAATAAGAGTAGATTATAAATATATACAACGAAAATACATTGACTGTTTCAAAATGATGATAAATTCGCCATCCACGAGTTAAGACACAATACTTAATTTCTGTGACAAAATTCATATTAATTTTCATGCTCTAAAAGGACTAATCCAAAAATCACATAAAAATAGACCTACTCATTTGAAAAAATCAACTTTGTTGTGTGGCCTTGTGAAAATCTGAATAGTTCAAAGCTGCAGCCTGATATTTATTAGTAACAGAAGGTTAATACTATGCCTGGTAAGAAAAAGCTTTGTAGTTTTTTAAAATTTTCTGCTCTAAATAGATACATCGTCCTGTTGCTAATATCCGATGCTACGCCCATGATGGCTAGACAGTGTAAGACGATATGCACCTCCCAGAGAGCCAGACAGACAGACATCCCCTAAATTAAACAAATCAACCCATTAGAATCCCAACTTTACCGTCTATTTTTATTATTTATTACCTACCGTCTGGATTGCTCTGTGTAGACACACCAACGAGTAGTGTATGAAATTCAAGTATTTTTTAAAATCTATGCTTGTCTAGGTTTACGTACATCGCTGTGATTCTGTTTTCGGATCAAAATATCTGAAATTTCGGGGAAAAATGTATGGGTTAATTTTAGCACGGAATATATTTCTCAGAAAACAACTGAAGCTAAAAGATATTTATCAAAGCTGGAAATAATAATTTTTTGTCCATATTGGTGGAATTGAATCGATCACAGTGCACGCGCTAGACAAAAACGGAAAAATCATCGGACTGATACTGGAACATATGCGTGGCATTTATGGTGAAATCTGTACAATGTGGGGTCAACTGAGGGCTAGCAGAGGTGATTATTTCATTTGCCGGATCAAAAGAAAATTGTCAGTTTCAGATTTATGTCTCCACAAGTATAAGTTGCATGAATTTTCATTATTATCCACAAGCACAAATATTCATGTCCACTAGGTGGTGGTACCTTCGCGGACGCAGCGTAGGGGATGGAAGTAAATACCTTCAAAATAATTAGGCATACGTCGCAGTTCACCTTCAGAGACAATTATCGCAACAAGAATGCCTTGCTGAGTTACTGTCTACTGTCTACTGTCAAAAATTGGTTTGAGCGCATGCAGATGTGTATCAATCTTCGTGGAGAATACTTCGAAAAACAATAAAGTCATTTAAAACTACCTACCGTGTTGTTTTATTTTCATATGCAAAACTTAAAAGACATCCCTCGTATATTAAAGCTTTAGTGACAACTGCTGCAGCAAATTGGAGATATTTAATATCTTTTCACCCCCTATAAGTCACATGTAGGTTTTAATATCAGTACTTCATATTATGTTAGTCTGCTAATAAGCGAAAAAGTGATTTTTGCAAGTTGGACGTTTAATAAAGAAAATCCAAAAAACTTTCATTAAGAAACATTAGATAACGTTTTATGCACCCCCAACAAAATAAATTCCGTTGTAAAATTCGCCTACAGAATGTTTTCTATTCTTTTTTGGGCTAGTTTGCCTGTTCTATGGAGTATTGCACATACATTTATGTATGTATACACACATTCGAGTAATTTTTAAATCTAAGCGTGTCTATGTTTACGTAAATCACAAACAAACTGAACTGTAATCCTGTAAACGTCTGAGTATTTATTTCGTGTTGATGGTCGATTCGAAGTCCCTTTACGATTTACATAATTTTTAGAAAATTATCGCACCACTCGCTGATTGATGCACGGGCACTGACATAATTTAGAGAGTATGACGGTGAAATGTGCACGTTTACTCGAAAAAAAAATCATAAACATCCGCAGAGCAGTTGATTTATGTAATAGCCTAGGACGTCACATTCCAAAGTCAAATTGAGTTCAATATTCGTAGTTTGTGATACGTCTGATACAAACTTCAGTCAGAGTAAACTGATAAATAGCAGTTAAGCACCCTGGACTAATGTTCTTTACCATAGGGTAGTTGTGAATGTCAATTCATCAGTTAATTTACTCGTAAAAATTATTTTTGCCTGTTAAAAAAAGGCTCTGTCAAGTCTGAGAAGGCTTCCGAATAAGGCTTGGAGAATTTTCGAGAGAATGTCTGTTTATATTGCTCAAACTTCTAAGAGTTACTGAGAGATATAAAGCTCGACAAGAGTCTAAAGCTCAGTAAGGTTTTCGGCGGTTCTTAGAAGAGCATCAGGTTTTTTTTTTATATCAAAACAGCCGCGCAGGCAGAAGCCTAAATGCCGGAACACCGCGGCTAGGGTATAACAGAATATACGGAATATTCTATATAGTAGGTATACAGAAATAATAAAGCTATGTTTACGGTAAAATAGCAATGAAAACGTAAAAGTGAAATTGAAAGATCGCGCTTTGGGGCTGGAACATCCAAGAAAGCGATCTGAATATACTCGCGAAGTATCAATAGCATCTTGAAGACGCTCTGCGAAAAGTAACATCAAACCGATAACTTAGCTATCGCAATAGGAAGGTGTCCATTTCGGTTTTCAAATTCGATTTGTAAATAAGATTATCCTCCAACCGCGCGACCCTTGACATGGATGCGTAGCTTCATCGTACCACTTAACATTGTACCTTTTCACGTAGGATGCAGGGTTGGGCTGGCACATTCAGATTTTTTCGGAACTTAATATCTCGGTTATCTTAAGGCTTAGGTGTATGTATTACTAGAATAATTTGATTATTGTTGCTCTGTAAAGTCTCAACTTTGAATACATTCTGTATATAGAAAATCTGTTTTGAACTCAGATAGCGTACTCTAAAGTAACATCGTTCTGGTAAAGACACAGGGCCCCAAAGGACGTCACGGGAACACAGTTTTTCTTAAATATTCGTAGTTTTCTAGGAACCAATTGGTTCGTTGTTTCTCACAGGTTCGGACTATTTCTTTCTTTTTGCACTCTGTATAATAATAGCAGCATAATGATAAATTCGGAGAGCGGTGAAAAAATGAACGTGTATCATATCGATGGATAAGATGTTCTTAAAAAAAACACGATTGTTTTAATGGCGTAGTTGTTAATGTTATACTGAAACTCTTTATTTTCGCGATTATTTCTGGATAACTTTTGAATAAAATCCATTTTAGGATTACGATTTTTTAACAAAATTGTTACCATTTGTATTATACAAGAGAATATAATACATAAAAATTAGGAAATTTTTAAATTGGACATTCTTACTTTGATATGCAAGACAAAAACGGTATGAGAAGGATATTTAATAATAATAATAAAGAATATATGGCAAGTTATCCACTGCAATGCACGACAGCCATTTTTGCACCAGTTTGCTCCAAAAGAAAAGCTTTGTATTACTTATTATCAATTTTTAGGAGCTTTTGGTTACTGCCAGAATTTTCGGTCGAATTATTAATGAAATTAGCAGTATATTCGCTTTTCGGTGTGAAAACAAATGCGGTACACCAGTGTAAATATGGCTTAACATGCTCTACGTTAAATGCTTGCTAGAAAGTGACTGCAGATCATTAATAATGATGCAGGCAGACCAAACAAATGAATTGATGTATAGGAGTTAGTATGCAACGATTTCAGATATCATAATCGTGTTGCAAAGAGATCGATGGATCAGTTTTTAAGAACTTAGATGTTATCCCTAGCATTTCCAAATATGCGATGTATGAGTTGGTGTACGACGTCTTTTAGACTTCATGACTGAATTTAAGTTAATATGCTGAGCAGGTCTCCATGCCCCCTTCAAGTTTGGAAGCGGATTTATAGAATATTTATTCATAGCACTGAGGCTGATAATGACCGATATATCCTTATTTTTCCTGCATATACTGGGGATACAGCTGGAGTAGGTACATAATGGGTAAAATCTAACCTAGGTGCATCTTATTTGTATAGATACCAAAGCAAAAGCTGAGATGAAAAAAGAACAAACGTGTATGTACCTTGCAGCCCATTGAAATTGGTTGTTACAGCCCTTATAGGTTATAGCAGTAGTAGTAGCGATCCCCATTGAAAATACAACCAACAACAATCAGTACCTTCTTCCTATTGTAGGTGAGTTTTTGCCGCATGGCGGCTATGCATTTTTCTATGACGCGTTTCAGCACGGCCCCCAGCAAGACATGTTGATCGCAACTGGAGGCTGAGGTACTGGATTGTGAGGTCGCAGTAGCCGCACCGCGGACGCGTGTCATTTGAGTCCGCCGCCGTCCTCTGTACGAACGGCCCGCTCGCCCTCCCGATATGACACCTCTCGATCGAACCGTCCGTCGTCGGTCACACCGATTTTTGGGGGTGGCGGGTTTCAGCGTGCACAGCCACTTCTATGTCGAATCGCGACCGATCCACCGGCTCGACTGACAGCACGGGCTCCTGTCGCGGGACTTCGCCATGGCGGCGCGGCGGACGACGGGAAAAGCGATGCCCTGTTGCCACATTTACGCGACGCGATAAATGAAAAACTTTTCCGACTGAGCTTTTACAGTATGAATGCTTAGCAAAAATTTATCAATTAAAACCGTCACAGATCTCTTTCTCTCTCCATCCGCATCCGTTGCTCGAGATGATCGAAGGCGACCCCGACCACTGTCTGCCTTGACGGTGCTGAAAGATGTCTCGCAAGGGCACAAACGACTAGTTCTTGTCGAAATTACTGCATAAAATATGGATTCAAAAGGAATATAATAATAATAATAATAATAATAGACGTCTTTATTTATCCACAATTACATTGTAGTATAGCCAAATGTCAGACTTATATGCCGAAGTTTAGCATGCTGCTACTCTTAAACTTAACCATATAGTCTCTAGCAGATGTTCAAAAGAATACACTATCCACAAACAGATTTGGTTCATTACATCGAAAGTAAAATTTAAAAAAAGAGAAATAGGCATACTTTCCAAACCCAAATACACCAAAAAATTATTAATCTGAATTAAAGATGGAATAAAAAAGAAATAAATGATTACGTAAATTATATGTTTGGAGGGTTGAGTAATAATGTTTTAACTCTTTGTCGAAAGACAGGTAATGAAAATTCTTTATATACTTTAGGAAGGTCATTATAAATAATAGCAACATTGTAAGAAAAACTGCGTTTAAAAAGTGTAGACGTATGCAGGGGTATTCTAATATTATTTTCTCTGAGAGTTCTGCAGTGAACATCATTATTAAGTGAAATTTTTTCCTTCAAGTAATAAGGTTTAGACGTGAGCAGCAATTTGTGAACAAAAAGTGAATAGTGATACTTGACCATGTCATTAATTTTTAACCAGCTTAGAACGGGATATTTCGCTGATACATGATCAAATTTACGTAAGCCAAAAATGAATCGTATACAATTGTTTTGAATAACATGAATAACGTTTTTAGTGAAATTGTCTAAACAACTATAGTATACGATATTACAATAATTTAGTATAGATATGACCAATGCTTCACATAGTTTTTTACGCAACTTAAAATTTAGTAAATACCTGTTTGCTATAAGAGTCCGCTGCCGTAGGTAGGTTTTCTGAGATAGACTTTTAACATGTTCAATAAACCTTAATTTTGTATCAAAAACAACACCAAGAATTTTTGCAGAATCAGAAAATTGCAAAATTTGGTTATTTATCTGAATGTTCAAGAGCTGTGTTACATTGTATGTTTTTCTTTGTGCGCAAAATAATAACATTTTAGATTTTTGTGGATTAAAAAGTAGATTGTGATCTAAAGAGTATTTAATTAATTTATTAACATCGTTTTGTCAAATTTGAGTAGTATTATTGACATCATCTGGGTTAAAATAATGGAGCAATTGTGTATCGTCTGCAAATGACTGGACATGAGAATTATCAATACTTTTGCTTAAGTCGAACGTATATATGAGGAACAGAAGCGGCCCCAATACAGAGCCCTGAGGTTACGCCTGAGGGAATTATTGTCACTTGAGACATTTCTTGATTGAGAAAAACACACTGAGTTATATATATCCATCAGCGACTTCGCAATGCTTTATTATATCGGAATTTCGTATATTTAGCCGATTGCCCCAGAAGGAGGGTTATGTTTTTCGCGAGTAGGTATGTATGTATTGTATAAATGGCTTGATGGACGTTGACATTCGATGGCACGACTGAAGCTTAAATCTCGTAGGGTTTTTGTATTTTTTTAAAATTAACTTGTTAATGATTGTCTTTA